TGCCTTTGGGAACAGTTTCCCTTTCGGGTTCCAGGCAGTGGGGTTCCCCAGGGTCTGGTACCAGAAACCATGCTTCCAGATTCTAAGTCCACTGTTCTTTCCTTGTAGGTTGCAGGCAAATTTTTGTCATCTTTCTACCATACTGATATATTTGCGGCTTCACTATATGGGAGGATTGTTCCTTACAAGCAACACATTTTCTCCCAGCTGCTAGGAAAGCCCCAAATGTAAATGCACAGATGCTTCAAGGGTCTACTTTAAGTCCCCATTTGGTGGCTTCTTGGTTTCTGTAAACTTCTGGTATGTGTTGGGGGTGGGGGATGGCGTGGCGGGAAGGGATCTGGCCTGCTACTACAAATGAGCCAGGATTTAAAATTTACACTGGGCTCAGTGACTTTCACCTGTAATCCCAGCTACTGGGGAGGCCGAGGCAAAAGTATCGCTTGAGGCCAGGAGTTCAAGACCAGTCTGGGCAACACAGTGAGACCCCTGTCTCTAAAAAGAAAAAAAAATTATCCAGATGTGATGGTGCAAACCTGTAGTCACAACTACTTGGGAGGCTGTGGTGGGAGGATCCTGAGCTTGAGTCCAGGATTTTGAGACTGCAGTGAGCTATGATTGCGCCACTGCATTCCAGTTTGGGTGACAAGGTGAGACTTGGCCTCTAAATAAATAAATACAATTTAGTTACTATAATTGATTAATCAATCACCTTGGGGTGCTCACTGGAGATGGGACAAGAGAGGATAGGGTTGGGTTTTATACAGCCGTTCTTGGGCCTTCTTATCAAACACTCAAGCAGCAGGCATCAGTTGAGCATTTTATGTGTTGTTAGTTAAGCGTGTGGCAGGATACAGCCCCTGTTCGAAGTCTGAGGGCAGCAGGGCTCTGAACTTAGAGGAAACTGATTGGTTCTAGAATGGACACCTCGCCCAAGGGCAGCCTACCCATAAGCTGATCAGTGACCAGTGAGGTGACATGGTGCCACGGGCGCTGATCAATAAGATAACAGTAATTATCTAAAAAATCTAGAAAATCTGTTTCCTCTAGGATTGAGAAGGAATTGCCAAATAGGCACGGGGTAAAGGAGCTCATGTTTGGATGGTCACAGGGCCTCTGGAGAGACAGGAGGGAGTAATGCCTCGTCCTGACAGCGTTTCCTTCCCAGTCTGTCACTTGTTCACTCAACCAGTACTTATTGAACACCTAGGGTAAGCCAGACCCTTTGCTAGGATACTCTTGAAATGTCACGTAATCCCTGTTCTCCTGGTGCTTTTAGTCTGAATAATATGTCATTAATAAAATAATCATAAATTAATAATTTTTTTTTTTGAGTTGGAGTCTCACTCTGTTGCCCAGACTGGAGTGCAGTGGCCGCTCCTGGCCACCGCAGCCTCGACCTGCTGGGCTCCAGTGATCCTTCTGCCTCAGCCTTCCAAGTAGCCAGAACTACAGGCACACGCTACCACACCCGGCTGATTTTTTGATTTATTGTAGAGATGAGGTCTCGCTGCCCAGGCGGGTCTCGAACCCGCGGGCTCAGGCAATCCACTCACCTCAGCCTCCCAAAGGCGCGGGAATTATTTTTAAACTTGGATGAAATATGAATAAAGATATAGGGGACTATGAGAGTCCCAACAGGGACATCTCAGTCTGGGACGGTTTCCTTAGGAAGGTGAATTTTGAGCTGAGAAGCAAAGGACCAATAGGAGTTAAAGAGCTGAAGGGTGAATTTATAGAAGAAAAGTTTCAGACAGACCAACATGTGCAAAAGTCCTGAGGCAAGAAGGAGCATGTCAGAAAGTCAGTGTGGCTGGAATGGAGTGGCACTAAGTGTCATTTGCTTTTGTTCACAAATCCTTTTTCTTATTGTGGCCTGTGGAGGGCCTCTTCCTTGCACACAAAAACCCACTGGACAGAAGCACCTATTATCTACTCCAGGTGTTCAGAGGCATACAAGATCAATGAAATAGTTTCATTTTGGGTCTGCTATTTACTAGCTGTGTGACCTTGAGCAATTTGCTTAATATCTGAGGTTCGGTCTGTGCATCTGTAAAAGTGAGATAATAAAAACAGTTATACAGGGCTATGATGAGAATTAAGACAATGCCTGTGTCCATGCCTAGGTTGGTCTATAGCACATAAGAGATACTTAATAAACACTTTTGCTATTAGCCAAACCACTGAGAAAGGACTAGGGCTCAAAAACAGCTGACTTCTTTTTGAACCCTGGGGAGGGTGGAGGTGGGTGTTCATTAATAAGTTAAAGCCGAGGTAGGGTGTGACTGTTTGCACAGGTACCACAGCCATATTGTCAGGTTGGCCATATTGTCAGGTTGGCAGACCTGAGGCGCATGGGCATGAAGGGTGCCCAGTAAGAGGGGAGAGGATGGAGCTAGGGAAGGAGACTGTGTGGAGCTGGGGACATTGGTTCAACTGCAGAGGCCAGCTCCGGTTTGAGACAGGAAGCTCGGTGAACAGCCATCAGTACTCATGAACTCCACGAGGGCGGGGCCATGTGTTTCTTGTTCCCCCGGGCTCCAGGTTCCAGCAGATATTCGGTGTTAAATGGGTGGGAGGGTGATGGTTACCTCAGCAAGGAATCCCATCTATCCCACCCCGTGTGAGTGGTCAGGAGCGCCTGTGTTGTAACTTTGGGCAATCTGTCCATCAGCGCCAGGACTTCCCATAGAAGAACACCAGCAGCAGGATTCAGGGTTGAAAGTGGAGGGCAGTGCGAGACACTGAGGCAAGAAGCCAGGGCCCCAGCTATGGGGCTTGGGTTCTGGAATCTGTTCCAGAAAAAATACAGAACTTGGCAGACTCACTGAAAAGGTAGAGACTAGTCCCTCGGAGTGAGATGAGAGCAGCGACACTGAGGATGTACAGGTTCCCTCTATGTGTATGTATATCCCATCACAATCCATAAATACACCGGGGTGCATTTAACCTTTAAATGGGTATAAAGGGTTTGTTGTTTTTTTAAAGGTTGCTTAATGGAAGTGAAAGAAAAATAAAGTTGGGGAATTTTAATGGAAACATGGTGGAATCAATACGAAACATTCATAGGATCCTATAAAACTGCCAGAGGTGGGCTAAAAATTTGGTTCTGAGCTGCCTGGTGGCCTGAGCAATGAGAGAAACAGGGGCAGTCATGAACTTTGTGGTGGTCAGAAGGTAAGCCACCAGCAACTCACAGAGGAACTGGTCAATATTCAAATAGGGGAGGCATTTTCCTGGAGTCCTCAAAGAAGGCTCAGAGGCATGCCAGGTTCCTGCCTGCATGCTGTATCCTGGATGCTCACACAACTTCTGCCCCGCCAGGCCCAGCTCAGAAGCGAGGGTAGACCTGAGGGAGATTGCCCACAGATGCAGCTGGGAAATGGGCAAGAATTGGCACCTCTATCCACCCACACCTGTCTCTACCTGAGATGATGCTAGAGACCCACAGAAGGTTTCTCAACCTGGGATGAAGGAACTAAACACCATCAGCTTGAGTTCTCCACCGGGAAGCGGGTGTAAAGTTGGTCTTGGCAAAAATGGAGATGTAATTAATGAAAAGACTATTAAGTGGAGTGAGAGTGCCAGAGCTGTCCCTAGCTGTGGGGCTTCACTTGGCTTACCCTCCAGTGACTCACCAGCTTATGAGCAATCCTCATATGCCTGATTCAGAGGACTTACTCACCCTTCAGAGAAAGACTTTAATGCAATAAAGCAAATGTCAGCAAGTGGGACGAGCTTAGCGCATCTCCCCAGCCTGCATCCAGCTTCCTACTCCCTGGCTCTCCCTGCTTGAAGTCCCTGCAGCCACTCACCCTGCACGGGCCTGCACAACAGGCTTCTGGGCACACTCCAAGTCTGGTCAGAGGCTCAGAGATGTGAAACCAAAAGGGATTAGGTACAAGCTAGACCAAGCTTCGGAGAAGGCTGGTCCATAAAGGCTGAAATCAGTCCCACAGGGGCAGGGTAAGGGCTAAACCCAGGATTTCTCACTCCTTGGCCAGTGCTCTTTACCATGGGAGCCCTGCTTGGCTACGCTGAAGGAAATTCAGCCTCCCTGCTCTGGGTGATCTTCTCATCTGTGGACTTTCCAAGGACTATGTGGAGAGTGAGCTGGAAAAAGAAAAGGCACATGGAGAGCAAGACCTCAAGCAAAGCCTTTGAAGTGAGGTATTTAGAGACAGCTGGGCTATCCTGGTTCTGCCACCTTTCTGCTATTTGCTGATGCAGTGCATGCTAAAAGATCTGGAAGCCCCTTTCTGGTTTCTGGAGCTGGAATCCACTTGTTAGGTCTCAGCTGACAGGGAGGGCATAAGCCCCAGCTGGTTCCCCGTTCCCCGTATTAGGAAACAGACCCCAGAGTTAGGCTGAAGCAGAGGCAGAGCCAGCCACGGGTATAAGTTGACACTGCCCCTTCCTTCTTCCACCAACGCGGAGGAAATGACTCACAAAGCGTCGGTTCAGCCTTGGATTTAAACCCAGGGATTTACCTAGGAACTCCTGAGGGAATTATCTGGAAGAAATAGATGCAAGGGTAAAAAGAGGGGAGTAGGCAGACCTTCACCTAGTTAATGTCTCCATCCCTGGGTCATTGACCCAGCTCTCTGAGTCTGGCCAGGCACTGGAGGGAGGTCAGTCACAAGCCTGGCCCTCAGGTCCACTGGAATCAAGGGCTTCATGCTGTAAGGGAATCTCGGGATAATTTCAGCTTGCTCATTTCTCAGGTGAGGAAACTGAGGTTCAAGTCAAACTCTTTGCCCTGTGTGATAGGAGCAAAGTGCCAAGCGGACAGATACTCTGACCACCTCGCCTCCCTGTGAGGCCTGTGCAAAGAACTTATCTCGCAAGTTAGCTTAGGGAGACCCCTCAGCTGGAAAGTAATATTTTGTATCATCATACCTACTGGCACACATCACACTACTGTTCATCTGGAAATAAAACCCAGTGAAGTAGGCTGGGCAACCCTACCTTGCCCTCAATTCATCAACAACAAGAAGTACTTTTTCCTTTTATAATTTTTATTTTGCACCATAAAAAAACAACAATAACAACCAGTAACATACCGCTTTTCTTCACATTTGCATGGGTTTTAGAAAATTATTGCCTCTTCCCCTGGAGAGATATTCTACAGACAAAAAAGTAGTACCACGTTGCAAAATATGCAAATCCCAAAGTCAATAGCTTGAAGACAACCTCCAGGGGTGGGAGAAAAACAACTGTCACAAGAGACACAAGTACACTGAGGGACAGTAAGCTGAGGAAATGACTGTTTTCAATGCCACTGACCCAAAATACACAGCAGGTACCCTTTCCACCTGGCACCTATTGCCACCACCCTGAAGGTGTGATTTTTTTGGTCTATGGTCTGAAAAACTCTTTTCAAACGAAAAGTTGCTTTGAGAAGAGGTGCAACAAGTTCAAGTATGAGTAAGAATCATGTTAAAGTCCAAGGTCAGGGAAGAACCCACAGTGAAAAAGAAACCCAGAAAAGCCAATGTCCTCAACCGACTGCCTCCTTTGGACTCAAGAGGAAATCTAAAAAACATCTCAAGGCTCAAATCGGCATACATATCGTGTTGCTAAAAGCCCAGCAGGGATTCTTTCCTGACTACACTGTGATCAGCTTATGCCTTGAAGCAACAGAGACAGACACTGAGACAGCCAAAGTTCAAAAAATAAGGTGGAAATTGTGCTTCCTTCAAAGTAAATTGGCTTTTCTCCTGATCCAGCAACTTCTTTCTCCCACGTTGCTGCAGGTATTTATTGCCTTAAGCTTGAAATAAAAAGGCAAACTTTGAGGTGCAAGGACTGAGCAGTCCCAAGAGGGCAAGGGGTCTGGAAGTACAGTAGTCAGCACATGCTGTGCTCCCTTAATGGCTTGGCCTTCCTTCGGTCCAAGAACCTATTCCCGGGTTTGGTCTGAAGTCCGCTTGCAAGCCTGGTGACTCACTCTCTCATCGGGACAGCATGACAGAGTGAGGTCTTCAGTATTGCACAGGTATGAAATGTCCACGAGTTTAAAAAACAAAAATCACAGTTGCTCTAGGGGCTGGGCGGGCTCCTCCATCCCAGTTTTAACAGGATGTGGCTGTGGCCACGGGGCTCCTGTGGAGCTCTGAGACTGCTGAGTGGGTGGACACTGGTGCCAGCACGGAGGCAGGGAATGTGCGGTAGGTACCCTGTATGTCAGGGCTCAGTGTCTGCAAATGGCCTATCAACGGAGAGCCTGCTGCCTCTCCTTGGCAGGAGGCAGGCTGAGGGGTGGGTGTGGAAGGCAGGATCTCAGATTCATACTGTAGGAGCTGGCCCATGAAGCCAAAATTGGGAGAGATCATACTCCTCCTCTGTTTGATGTAATCAAAGGCATCCTTGAGGCGGAACTGCTTGGTCTTCATGAGGTAAGCCATGCAGATGGTGGGTGAACGGGAGATCCCAGCCTCACAGTGGACCAGGACCTTGCCTCCCTTTTCCCTGACACAGTCTGAAAGAAAAGATAGTGGGAATGAGTCGGGATTGGAATCTGAAAGCAATGCCAAAACGTGAGAGGTGACCCAGTTATCAAACTCTTGTGCCTGCCTAAGAGCTGTGGCTCATACTACATTTCTGCCAGTCTATAATACCCGCTGGTGGGAAAAGAGATTTTGGGGTCCCACCAATGTCTATCCCCAAGTATGATCTTTATAATCTTTACGGCTGCTTTTCAGCTCCCCAGGATACTTGTAAAGAATCTGCCACTGGAAGCGCTAGACTTGGAGAAACCCCTTCCTGGGGATGCCATCTTAACTTGGGTTACACGGTTGGGCTTCAAGTGGGCTCAGGAAAATCCTCGAAACTGTGCCAGTTTTTACTGGGCATGTCCATTTTTCTGAGGCGAGTGTCTCAGGCTCAAAGGCTGGTGGAGAAGCAATTCTTGTCTCTCTGGGTCTGATTTTTTTTTTGAGTTGGCGTCTCACTCTGTTGCCCAGACTGGAGTGCAGTGGCCGCTTGCAGCCACCGCAACCTTGACCTGATGGGCTCCGGCGATCCTTCTGCCTCAGGCTTCCAAATAGCCAGAATTACAGGCATGCGCTACCACGCCTGGCTGATTTTTTGATTTAT